GGGGGGGGGTATGGCTGGTAAAGCCATGTGCAAATACTCAGGTACGCAGTTCCCTACATTCCGTTCCTGATGCGATCTCCATTCTATCTTGTATCCCCCCCCATCAACTTTTGAATACCTGGTTCACATTTTACGAAACTTGGTATGTGCATCGTGGCATCTGAACCCATCCCAACGGCATTCTTCATAAATCCTTCCAATCAATCTGTGTGTCTGTATCCCAGCGTATCATTGCTACGCAACGGCTCGGTAAACACGTTCCCACCCCAAGGAATACACGCAGTAGTAGAATTGTTGGACGCGTTATTTTCTATGCGGTCCCGTATCTGATCAGAGGAAAGTGTGGCTCTGTGTATACCACTATCGTTGCTAGGTAACAAATCGACAAAAACGTTCCCGCGGCCAAGAATTGTTGGAGGTGCCGTATTCTATGCGGCCCATGGCGTGTCAACGGGATTAGTTCAAGAATTTCTTGTTTAAATTACGTAAGCAACTTCAATATCATAATCTTGAGTGATATTCTTTGCCAAAAAGTTCTATTGGTAAACTGTATTTTGTGATATAGATAAGGAACGCAACCATAACCCGTGTTGAGAATGGGGACTACTTATCACATAAGTTCTCTCACTATATTTTTTTTTGGGGGGGGGCCAGATAAATTTTCCTATTTTCATTTTGTAAAACAAAAACTCCGTGATTTTATTCCGCAAGCTAACTATACCAACCGAGCGACGGCTGCTTTTCAGCGAAGTTAGTGCCACCTTTAGCGAATAGAGGGTGTCGCGTGGTCAGCACAACGAATCCCCACGGCCGTTAATTTCGGTTTTCTAGACCGGAGCCGCTATTTCCTTGAAATAGCTCCTCAGTTATCCTCACGAGGCTGGATGGATCCCGTTCCAGACCCACTACTTCTCAGAAAATCTGGTAGCGCTGGGAATCAAACCCAAGATCTCTACATCTGTGGCCAGGAACTCTGATCACTAGACCACAGAGGCGGTCTAATCATTTTATACCCGACGTAATGTAGTCAGTGAGTCGTCAGATCTGGTGTAGTGATTCGCATTTTTAACTTGTGCATTGCATCAGCAGAATGAACGAAACGCATGTTCATTCTGTATGTTGATTCTCCGTGCGTTTGGCTTCCGTCCAGAGTAGCGAGCGAGGTGTGATGTTATGCCGACGGCTCGTGTTCTGTGTATTCCTAGAATATTTGCTTACGTGCCTTCACTTTGATTTAGTGAACTTCGTACAGATGATTCAGTGTTTTCGCTGTTTATTTGAGACTTTTCGCTTTTGAGAACAGTTCACAGGTAGACATACGACAAATGAAATATCAGCAGTTTTAACATTTACATAAATAGAAAGTTTTATAATTGTGTCTTAGGTTGGAATTGTTTATATGGTTTTAATTTGTGTGCGTACTTCTCGTGTGCTTTACTTAGTTACTCATGGAGCTGAGCCCTTCTTGAGGAGCCGCCAAATCTGCATATACTCAAGAATTTCCCAGCATTTTATTGAGCCCGAAGGTTCATTACCGTGTTCACGAGAGCCCTACACTGGTCCCTATCCTGAGCGAGATCAATCCAATACATACCATACCATCCTATCTCTCTAAGATCCATTTAAATATTGTCCACCCATCTACGCCTTGGTCTTCCCAGTGGTCTCTTTCCTTCTGGTTTTCCTGCAAATATCCTATATGCATTCCTCGTCTTCCCCATTCATGCTACATGCCCTGTCAACCTCATCCTCCTTGACTTGATCGTTCTAATTATACTTGGAGAAGAGTACAAGTTATGAATCTCCTCATTTAGAACATTATCATGCAGGCAGAACTGCCGTGGAATTAGTTGTGAACTTTGGAATGGTCTTCGAAGGACTCGCCCCTTTTGGAGGCAGAGTTCTCTTCTTCCTTGCAAGGTTTGGGCTCTTTGTACACGTTATGAAGTTACAAAAATTGTCTATACCGCCTCATTTATGTTCTTCATAAATTCTTTTTCCTCGAGGTCTGCAATTGAATGCTCATTTTAGTAAACTACAATCTTAATAGTATGCATCCTGTTATGTTATAAATAAGGTACAATAAATGTATATAAAAGTATACAGCCTACACAACAATGTTCTATATTTAAAAAAATAA